TTATTTTGTGGATTCAAGCTGCTCTTCATATTTTTGGCCACCAGATGTCACCAGAGAGGACTGTGTTGAAAAGCTTCGAGTAATGAACCGTTTTTCAATACAAGCTTCAGTGCTTCAGAAAGCTTCATTTGGCCATCACTACTGATAGGTTTGATAGCACTCCGCTGTCTTTGTTTAATTGGTCACATGATTGCATCACATGACTAAAATGCATCATGTTTTAGAAAGTCTACGTTTTCGAGTGTCCACACTGCGACTGGACAACTCCGTTTTTAAATGTATGCGTCTTCGAGAGTGTTTTCAAAACGGAGAGAAAGCGTATTTAATTTTTATTGACTATTTTAACCGGTACGTCTTCTGTTTCCGTGATCACCCCCTGCTGCTCTCCCCGTTAGGGTTCCCTTCTAAGCTTACACCAAATGTTCAGCAACTCAGGCTGACCCTTTGGTGACTCAGGCGACTCAGGCTACGTCCACTAATGCGTTTTCAAATGAAAACGTAGCCTGAGTCGCTTTCTGCATTTCCTTTTAATGTTGCTGACCCTTTGTTGTAATGACTTGGTGATATAAGTAATGTTCCGAAGGGTTAAAGAAATCTGAGCTGGCAGCAATCACTTCAGAGTGTCGGGTCAGAACACTTGCAAATGTTCAGATGTGAGAAGAACAAACAGGCAGAGTCCAGGAATAAAGTTGTCATTCTTTGTATTTCCAATTGAGAATGTGCCCGCAGCTGGGCGAGAGAGAGAGAGAGAGAGAGAGAGAGAGAGAGAGAGTGTGTGTGTGTGTGTGTGTGTGTGTGTGTGTGTGTGTGTGTGTGTGTGTGTGTGGTTTGGTCTTATGAACGCACACACTGTCCGTTGTTTGGCTGCCGTTTGTCTCTGAACTAAAGTTGCGGACATGCACCCCGATGGTGCAGGGGGCATAGGAAATCCCATACACAAACCTAACCCTTTTGTACAAGTAAAATTGAATAGATTTGATTTGAAATAACAGAACTCGAACCAATTACAGAAACATAACAATAAAGCAACCAAAAAGTAAGAAATAACAATAACAAGAATAAAAATCAAGAATAAAATAGATACAATATACAGCCAGTGGCAGCTAGAATGTATTTCAAACATTTCAGAGGAATACAGATTGAAATGAATGCTTAGCAAGACAAACATGAAGCAGCTTTATGCTTTACTGTATTTTGGACCGGTAAGCAATTTGAGGAAGTTTTTAAGGTGGAAGGATTTTAAGGCTGATGAAATAGCTGTTTTAAAATACCACAATGACACTTCTTACTAATTAAAAATAAAAAAGTTTGACAACGCCACAGGAACAGTAGCTGAAAATGCCTTTTATATCACTTAATGGCACTTATTGTATCGTATAAAGGTACTATCATTTTAGAGTTGCATTTTCATAAATACAAATACGTTCGAGCACTTATTTAAACTTTCACAGCTGTTATGATAATTAAATCTATTACAGATATTATGGTGTGCCTTGATGATCTTGCCAGATTTCAACCTTTGCAGCCTGTATGGCATATCATAGAATATATTTCTTTTTTAGAAAAATGCTAACAGTTTATTATTGGCAACTTCATGGCCACTCCAGATCGTTGTGTATAGCTGTCGACTCAATTACTCAAACAAATCATAGGATCCATATCAAGAAAGGATTAAGTATATATATCAAATAAGGAAAATATATCAAATGCATGTCAAACAAAATAAGAAAAATTTAGATATAAAATTTATTAATTATAACATTGGAACTATTATTATTATTAGTAGTAGTAGTAGTAGTATTACAACTGGCAGAGAAAAATTGTTGACTGTTTGCAATTGTTCATCAGTATAAAACTCGTCTTACCTTTTCTCTGGTTCTCTCAGCTTTGAAAAAAATTAGAGAGTGGACAACTCAGCATTTAACTAGAAATCAGAGAGGGGAGGGGGGGAAAGGGAGAGATAATGCTGTAGCTCTATATGCACACAAACACACACACACACACACACACACACCTCTGCAAAACGGTTTTGTTCTGTTTTTTGTTTGTTTGTGGCTTCTTTGTGGTTTCTTTCTCTTGAGGACAGTGACCCAAGAAATTTCATGTAATGCTGGAACATTGAGAAACATTGTTATAAAAGCCTCGTCATTTCCCCAGTACAACTGGACCGTAGATGGCTTGACCAATCTTAATGCTGTTTCCACATGCAATAGAAGTCAGATGCAAAGCAAAAAGAATAATCAAATTAAGAAGAAGAAGATGAATGTGAAGATGCTACAGAGTTTGTCTGCTTTACACTACCACACAGTGCAAAGTTAACAGATGACTGAGAAAGCACAGATTTAGTGTTGAAGAAAACTGCTACAAAGTATTTGGTGCATCTTCTGGACAGAGAAAAGAAGATAAGGATGACTTGGTGAGGAAGTCAGAGTGAGGTCTAGAGTGAGGAAGTAGAGGAAAGTATTCAAAGCAAGAAGTTAGCAAAACGTTTTCAAGCATGAGATTGCTGTGCAGTGCTGTAATGAAAACAGAGGGATACGCTGATGAGCTATATGAAGATAGGGGAAAGAGTTGTTTAAAAAAGTGTAATCTTAACTGCATGCCTCAGTTTTACTGCATGATAAAAAAAAATGTCTGATTTCAGACTGGCAGGTGTGATGGAGTAGAGCTGTCTTTGGTCTAGAAGAAAATTTTAAAAATGGCAGACATTAGCTACAGCACAAGATGTTTTCTGATGCTTTGGTCCTGACTGCAAAACATTTTATCTCAGTGAAATTGCAAATTGCCTTTATTTACAAAGAAGAACTCAGGGCTGTGTGTTGGACAGGGTCGTCTGCAGTACGGGGGCCCCACAGGGCAGACTTCTCCCACAACTCCACCCAGTGCTTCCTGCAGAAGTTCTCTGATGACTCTGCAATAGTCGGCCTCATCACTGATGGGGACGACAAGGAGTACAGAGGACTGACCCAAGACTTTGTGGACTGGTGCCAGCTGAACTACCTCCACATCAACACTAGGTAAAACCAAGAAGCTGGTGGTAGACTTCCGCAGGCACAAACATCCTCCACTGCAAGCACTGAAGACTCAGCTCATCTATGTGTCAGTGGATCTCCAACTTCCTAACTGGCAGACCACAGGCAGTAAGGATGGGCGGACATGTCTCAGCCTCCACCACTCTCAGCACTGGAGCCCCCCAGGGGTGTGTTCTGAGCCCCCTGCTGTACTCTTTGTACACATATGACTGTGTGGCCACTACCAGCTCCACCACCATCATCAAGTTTGCTGACGACACCGTCGTGGTGGGCCTGATCTCTGATAACAACGAGACGGCCTACCTGAAGGAGATTAGGAATCTGGAGAACTGGTGCCAGAGGAACAACCTCCTTCTAAATGTCAGCAAGACAAAGGAGCTGATAGTGGACTTCAGCACTAAGCAGGAGAGGAACTACCAGACCCCCGTCATCAACGAGTGCCCAGTGGAGAGAGTGGACAGCTTCAAATACCTCGGAGTTCACATCACGCAGGACCTGTCATGGTCCTGTCACATCAACACCGTGGTGAAAAAGGCCCGACAGCGTCTCTACCACCTCAGACGCTTGAGAGACTTCCAACTGCCCTCCAAGGTGCTCAGGAACTTTTACTCGTGCACCATAGAGAGCATCCTGGCGGGAAACATCTTAACCTGGTTCGGGAACAGCACCATGCAGGACAGACGAGCTCTACAGAGGGTTGTGCGGTCAGCTGAGCGCACCATCCGCTCCGAGCTCCCTGACCTGCACTCAATCTACAGCAGGTGGTGCTGGACCAAGGCCAGGAAGATCGTGAAGGACCTCAGCCATCCCAACAACAGACTGTTCTCTCTGTTGAGGTCAGGAAAGCGATTCCGCTCCCTGAAGACCAACACAGAGAGACTGAGGAGGAGCTTCTTCCCGCAGGCGATACGGTCTCTCAATCACACCACCACACAGTACTGACCCACACATATGGTTCTTACACACACACTGGACTTTCTGGACTTTGGTTTTGCACAACACTGGTCACTATATTCTTCATTTCCGGTTAATACTTGTACAGCTGCTGTTATTGTGTATATATTTATTTATATTTAGATTTCTTCATACATTCTTATATAGTTCTATATTGTGTATTTTGTTGTACAGTTATTTTATTTTCAACTTTAATTTATATATTTTATCTTATTCTTCCCAGTTAAATTTACCCTTCATTCTAATTTGTGTTGTACAGTTATTTCATTTTTAACCTTAATTTATATTTTATTCCTTCCTAGTTAAATTTACCCTTTTTAATTTTTCATATTTATTTCCTATCTTATTCATAGCCTTTTCCTTTTTTGTTTTCTTTAGGTCACGAGCAGTTGTCCAAGCATTTCACTACATATCGTACTGTGTATGACTGTGTACGTGACAAATAAAATTTGAATTTGAACATCCAAGGTATGGACATTGAGTGGGACGGAGAGATTTCGCAGGTCTTTCCTCCCCACTGCTGTCAGACTCCACAACAAAGACTCCAACTGATCAAACACACACATCCACACATGTGCAATAACACTAGGTGCAATACTCTTTATCTGACAAAGTTGTATTTTTACTCAGTTGTATAAAGCATTTGCATTCTATTTTTATCCTATTGTATATTTTATTCTATTTATTCTACTGTATATAGTATTTTTTTTTATTCTGTACAGTTGTGTACAGTATTTTATTTTTATTGTATTCTAACTTTTGCTACATAACTTTTGCACTGTCCACTTCCTGCTGTGACAAAACAAATTTCCCACGTGTGGGACTAATAAAGGTTATTTTATCTTAAGATCACTTGGTGCCAAGCTCGCCTTACACTGAAAATACCACTCATGCTGATATAAAGGTCTCCAGCCATCACACTACAGATGAGTCACGGGTGTAAGCTTAGAAAGGAACCCCTACTATAACGGGGAGAGCAGCAAGGGGTGATCACGGAAACAGAAGACGTACCGGTTAAAATAGTCAATAAAAATTAAATACGCTTTATTTACAACACTAAAAATACCCTGATCAGGGGAGAGAGAAAAAACATAAAACTCAGCACAATAAAAAAATAATGGTGCTCAGTCCCAAAGTTCCGAGTCAGGCTCCGCCACACTTCAGCCATGAAGAATCCGCCGATTCCACCAGTGGGAACCAGGCCAACCGCGTCCTCTGTTGTCGCCTCGCTGCTCCGCTTGAGGTTCCACTAGGCACAGGGAAGCAGCGAAAGTCACTCTTCTTAATTCCCCAGGGTATTATATACATCTTAGAAGTCGGTACTCACCCGGGAGGGCAGAGCTCTGAACTCCGCCCGCCGCTGTTCCGTGCCTTAACCATTCACTGACGTCTCGCTGCCACCGTGGAAGGGGCTGCCGTCCACTGACTGAAGGCCCGCTCTCCTTCTACTGCTGCCGCGCCTTGCCGCCAGTTGCCGCTCCGTTGCTCGCGCTACCTTTGGCGGCGTCCTCCCGCACAGCCACGCTACTCCGGCTCTCCTGCTGCCCTGCGTACACACGTCCTTCTCTCACCTGCCAGAGGCTCTTATTGCCCGCTGCCAACAAGGGAGGCCCGATTGATTCCTGTCCCCTGTGCCCTCCAGGTGTATCTCATTGGGGAAGCAGAGGGGGGGGGGGGAGTCTCTCCGGGAGAAGTCCAAATAAATACAATAAAAGCATGCAACACTAAAATACACTCAACATTAAAACACAAGCATGCAACCACTCGATTATAAAAATCCTTCTTCCCTGGATGATAGATGCAAGTAGATGAGGCAATGAAGACATAAAAATACAAAGCAGCTGAGTGAACATGCATTTCCAAAATGAGACATGTTCACTTCAAAGCTGCAACTTTTTGGCATAGCATATCAATCTGTTCATTATACTATTGCTGCTGTTACTGCAACTGTATTGTATGGCTGCAGATGTCAAAGGACCATAAGACCATAATCTAATCAAGTCCATAATGCTGATTGTTACAAATTGATAGTTTTTGAATGCTATACCCAGTAGCCACCTTTTCTCACATTTATAAGAATAAACTGCTCAAGGGCTCCTACAGCCCAACACTGCCCTCTACAGTAAAACTGATGTTAGCACAGCCTCAAATTCTTTACTTCTTCATGATTAGTGGCTCATGTTTAAACTTTAGTAGTTGTTCAGAAATATTTTGCTTAATTTCCAATTTCATTATGTTCTCTGAGGTTGAGGTGATGAACGTTTAGCACAGAGGACCTCAGATATTTCCTTCTGCATTTTGTGGTTAAAGTCTACAACAGTAACACTGTTGCAGAACACACTGGACACGCACACAAACTGTCAACAGATAATGCATACACTTGACACTGGTTTATATTTCTAATACTTTGTTTCATAAATTGTGTTACCACCTATGATGACTAGAGCAAAGGTCTTAGACCTGCAGCTCGAGAGCTCCTTTGCCCATTTCCAGTGGTTTTCCAAAGTTTTGATGAATGTTTAAAGAGCGATAAACATGTTTTAAAATTTTATTTCAACATTTCCTTTTTTATTTACTGACGTGCATCGTCACTTGGTACCTTACTCCTTACATTTTGCTAATTGTCAATTATAAGAAAAGACAAATTGATAGTTGTGATGGATCCCATATCCAAGGCAGTAAAAGTTGGTAGTAAAAAGAGAGATTTTAAAAATGCAAGAATAGATTTCTTTCCTTTCACTGCTGCTGTGGGCTTACTGGTGTGTTTGGTCTGCAGCAGGATTTCTTGCTGTCCTTAGAGGTATAAGAATTACAACACAAGTGAAAACTCTCTAAGGCTGTTTTTAGCAATCAACGTCCACTCCATGAATTAGTGTCAAACACCAGCAACCACGTCAAGAGCAGTTGTGGAATACAGCACAAGTGTCATGGTCTGGGTGAGTGCTGGGGTCTTCATCTGAGTTGCTGTCTCCACCTGTGGGCGGAGTGGCTGCACTCTGGCGCGTCTCCACAACTGCAAGCAATTATGCTGCCGGCTTTTAAGACTCACCACCGCTCACGTCACCACTAGTCCTTGCCAAGTGTTCTGCTAGCCACAGTTAGTGCTGACCACCACACTTTTGTTGAGAAGAGTTTCCCACAGAAAGCAACTGACCTTTTGTTTGTTTCTACAGCCTTTCAGCTAACTCCAACCGTGACAATACTCACCTTCATCTTGTTGCTTCATAGGCTCCAGTTCACTCTACTCACCCACCTGCCCTCCGGCCACAGTCATGGCAGTCCACCGATTCCCTGCTCTGGAGTCTGGCTGCCTCACCTGGACTGCTCGACCTCCCTCAAACACCAGTACTCTACCTGCAAAGTGTAAGCCTGAAAGACTCTGCTTTGATTTTTCTTCTCTGGATAGCATGAAGCATGGGCTTCCTCCCACGGTCCAAAGACATGCAGTTTGTGGGGATAGGTTAATTGGATAATCCAAATTGCCACTAGGTGTGAATGTGAGTGTGAATGGTTGTCTGTCCCTATGTGTTTAGCCCTGCGACAGACTGGCGACCTGTCCAGGGTGTACCCCGCCTTTCGCCCTATGACAGCTGGGATAGGCTCCAGCGCCCCCCGCGACCCTGAAAAGGATAAGCGGAAGCGAATGGATGGATGGATGGATAGCATGTCTTTAACCACTGAATCTATTCTCCTCTCTTTGCAGTGTACTGAGACTCCCGGTTGCATCTCCTGATGCCCATGCCCTTCCTCCTTGCCCTGAACCAAAGCTTACAAAATGAATTTAGTTTTCTCTCATGTTCTATGTTCTTGTACCAGGTTCTATATCACAGATTATATAACAGATCTGGGGAGTCATAGTTCATGGTCTTGCCTTTGCAATTTCATGTTTTTGTGCAATAAAATCTGGTAATCAACACCTACCAGTGCCTTTGAGGTCTGCTACTGAGTCTGTTTTGTGGAGCCTTGACCGTGAGACCAAGTCCCCTACTCGTGGGTCTTCTGCGTCACACACCCATGGGGAGACACTTTTAACAGATTTCTGAACACATATAGTTAAAGTTTCTTTTAATCCCAATCGTGAAGGGTAATGGGGTTTATATTTGTCAAGCACGGTCCCAAGTCACCCAGATGGTTCTGTTTCCTCCTCATTCTCAAAATCCAATGGCTGAAATGTCATGGACAAGTGAACTTGTTGAATTTGAGGAAATTGGTAAAGATTTGCACCACCGACTTTTACGTCCAAACTGCCTGCATTTGCCATGAGCTCCTGGATAGTGTGTGGGTTTAAGATCATCACACAATGGACTGTGGATTGCCGTCTACTTTGATTGCTGTACACACACACACACATACAGAGAGTTGCAGTTTATCCTTTGATGCGTGGGGCTTTAACACTCGCTCCGCCACTGCTCGCGCTGAGACCTTCTAGCCTTGTGTCCCTTTAGTCCGCATCTGGATTACACAGTTGTGCACTAAAGGGAACACACATGTTCGTGTTCCTGGATACTCGCTCGTTTGTATTTTCACACGCGGGTTTTGAAGCCGGCCGTGCACGCTGTTCTCTGATGTGCTGGCGCCCACTCTCTCAGTGCTCTCGTAGCTCCATAGTTTCCCAATGAATTCGGCAAAAGTCATTGCAAATTCACTTTGTGTGACATGATCCTGGCACTTCTTGCGAACCAGTGCTACACATTGCCCCTCGCTCAATGGCTCACCAGCATTTCTCAGGGCAGCGGTGGCGCCCTAGGTGGCAAAACACTTCACTTTCTCTAGGCAGTCTTAGCTACTCTGCGCCCATAACCTGTTAGCAGAGGTGAAAATACGCAGGAATTCTGGCGCGAATATCTAGACTGCTCCGAGGACAACTGTGGAGGAAATAAACACACAATAGCCACAATCCATTTTCTCACTTGAACTCATTCGCAAGAGAGAGAAGCTTTATTGACGATCACCAGCATATACATGAGCATCACATGTCAATCACAATGCATCTTATCCGCTATTTCCACCTCGCGTTATATACTCTCTGCAATAACGCACACGTTTTCTGCGTGTGTGCTAATAAAGATGTCCTTCTTACAGTTGAGAGTATATTTTTAATCTGTGTCATCACTTTATGAAAACTCTGAAACTTAACAGACAAATTCTCGTGGGTAACTCTTCTTTTAAACCGAGCACGCGGATAATGCTTGGACGTCCAACTCCATGCGTCTTTGCGTTCATCCTTCACACAGGGGGCAGGTCGACGGTGATCCTTCGAACTTGGCCATCTCTCTGTAACGTGAAAGTGATCCCAGGCAGCTGAATGGTCAGAGTCAGAGGTGGAAGCCTGATCGTGACCGAATACAGAATTTGCCCGCAGGTGCAGAAAACTCTGCTGCTCAGCCAGTGGAGGAAATTCTTCATGTCAATGAGAGCGCGCACCGCGCTGTCACTGAATCGATTCAGCCACGCGTTTGGGTATGACATCGTGGTTTCACACCAGTGAGGCTGTGCTGCCAGCAGTTTGTCCGAGGGTGTAATGCTTGCAGGAGCTGAGTGGATTTGTTTTCAAGCCGGCTCTGACACTTCTTCCTCACGGGACTTCTGTCTAGTGAATAATGAAGGATGTTAATACGCTCTTTAGTTGAAGTACAGTACTGGGTTGCTGTGAGCTTTAAGACTTTCTCCTCGCAGGTCTTCTATCTCGTGGAGTTTGTCCGAGGGTGTAATGCTTGTAGCAGCCGAGTAGGTCTGAGACTTCCTCCTTGCACGTCTTCTATCTGGTGAAGTTTGAAGTATGTTAATATTGGGCTTTTGTCGAGCGCCGTCCAGGCTGGCCTGTTTCCACCTCGTTCTATGGCTCCACACTGCTGTTCCTCTGCGTTATGTGTCGTTTTGTGCTTTGAGCCTCACTCTTTACGGGTATGTTAATACTGTCTTTTCATGAAGTGAAGTGAAGTTCCCCGCTGCTAAGCACGACCGAGTTGAGAGGCTGTTACGGCCGTGTCTTCGTTGTATGTTCGGCGAGCAGGGTCGCTTTTTGCTGCATTTCCTCCGACTTGCTGTAATGCAAGTCAAATACATGATGATTTGTCCATTTGTCTTTTCATGAAGTGAAGTGAAGTGCCCCGCTGCTGAGCGCTCCAGTACGACGGAGTTGAGAGGCTGTTACGGCTGTGTCTTCGTTGTATGTTCGGCGAGCAGGGTCGCTTTTTGCTGTATTTCCTCCGACTTGCTGAAATGCAAGTCAAATACACGAGGACTTGTCCATTTGCTCCACACGCAGCAACAAGTCAAGCAGTCAAAACTTTGTTGTGGGAAGGCGAGGCCTCGAACTCGCGACGTTCACCTCCATGCACTACTTGCCAGCGTACTATCGCAGTGAGCTAAACTGGCAGAGGTGAGTGCAGCTCGCTGTGTGTGTTTAAGAACCTCTGAGCGGAGCGTGATTTGGCGTATACTTTGATTCCTCTATACACACGGATGCGCACGGACACTTTTAAAACATTCTTCCTCAACACACACCTTAAAAATACATTCACATTTCTTTCCTGTCTTCCTGCGCTCACACATAGCCACAAAGTATCAGCGCCAGCAGTGGCTTTAACACTCGCTCCGCCACCTTCTAGCCTTGTGTCCCTTTAGTCCGCATCTGGATTACACAG